CCAATTAGGTGCCCTGCCACACCAATCCATGGCAGCTCTTTCCAACAAATATGGCCCTCTCATGCTCCTAAAGCTTGGCCAGAAGCATGCCCTTGTGGTTTCATCACCAAAAATGGCTAGAGAAGTGATGAAGACCCATGACATCAAATTCTCCAACAGGCCCCAAACTACTGCCGCACACGAATTGCTGTACCAATGTCAAGACATTGGCTTTGCTCAATATGGTGAGTACTGGAGACAAGCCAGGAAAGTGTGCGCTCTTGAGCTTTTTAGTGTCAAAAGAGTGGACTCCTTTCAGTACGTAAGGGACGAGGAAGTTGGTGGGCTGATGGACAGGATTCGTAAGGCTTGTGTGGGCGGTGAAGCTGTAAATCTAAGCCAGTTGTTCCTTCAAACCTCGAACAATATAGTGTCGAGATGCGTTTTGGGAGAGAAATTTGAGGATGAAAATGGGAATAGTAGATTTGGGGTCACAGTCAGAAGGGCTATGGTGCTAATTGTGGCGTTTTGTGTAGCTGATCTTTTCCCTTCTCTTTGGTGGATTGATATTATTAGAGGGTTCAATAAGGAGTTGAAAGATTGCTCCAAAACATTAGATACATTTGTTAGTAAAGTGATTGAAGAACACAAGGAAAAGATAAGAGATGGTGTTGGAACTGATGAATCTAAGAAGGATTTTGTGGATATCATGTTGCAGCTTCAACAGGATGACATGGTTGACTATCATTTCTCTCCTGACAGCCTCAAAGCAATGTTACTGGTTTGTTTCTTTTCCATCTAATCCTCAAAGCAATCGTTATAGTTTATTTTGTATCGATGTCCATTTAATCTATGTAGTCTTTCTTTTTCTTGTTCTTCCCCTATGTGTGAGATCTCACATTGATTGGAGAGAGAAAGAAACATTCTTTACAGGGGTGTGGAAACTTCTAGATTTTAAAAAGACCAAAGGTGAGACTCGAAAGGGAAAGTCCAAATAGTATTAGAGCCAGACACCTAGTGGTGTGCCAATAAGGACGCTGGCCCCCGAAGGGAGGTGGACACCAGGTGGTGTGCCAGCGAGGACGCTGAGCCCTGAGGAGTAGATTGTGAGACCCCACATTGATTAGAGAGAAAAACGAGTGCTAACGAGGACGCTGGCCCTTGAAGGGCATTGGATTGTGAGATCCAAATCGATTGGAGAGGGGAACAAAGAATTCTTGATAAGGGTGTTGAAACCTTTCTCTAGTAAACGCGTTTTAAAAACCTTGAGCGGAAGCGGGAGGGAAAGTTCAAAGAGGACAATATCTGCTGGCTGTAGGCTTGGATATATCTCATGCAAGAATTTCATACTTTTTTTAGTAAAGTTCAGAGGAACCCAGTTTTGATGTTGGATTTCAGGACATGTTTGTTGGAGGAAGTGACACAACAGCAACGACACTGGAGTGGACAATGACCGAGCTGATGAGAAACCCATCAACCATGAAGAAAGTCCAAGAGGAAGTAAGAACAATAACAGGAAAGAAATCAAAGATCGAAGTCGAAGATATTCAAAAGATGGAGTACATGCACTGTGTCATAAACGAATCTCTGAGGCTCCACCCGCCCGTTCCTCTACTAGTGCCACGAGAAACAGCAGCAGATGTGGAGATCGACGGCTACCATATTCCATCAAAAACAAGAGTTTTTGTGAACGCCTGGAAAATCCAAAGGGATCTCGAATATTGGAAGAATCCAACAGAGTTCATCCCAGAGAGGTTTATGGATAACAGATCCGTGGATTACAAAGGCCAATGCTATGAGTTTATTCCATTTGGGAGTGGGAGAAGGAAGTGCCCAGGAATGTCATTTGGGGTTGCTTCATTTGAACAAGCATTGGCTAATCTTCTCCATTGGTTTGATTGGAAGCTTCCCAGTGGCTGTGAATTGAGCGTTGAAGAAGAAGGTGGGCTCACTGTTTGCAAGAAAATCCCTCTCCTTCTCAACCCAATACCGTTATCTAATCATATATAATTCAATAATTCTTGTGGGGTTCTTTAGTATGTTAATAATTTGATCTGTATTTATTGGTATGCTAAATTTGTGTAACGTTGTAAGTGCAAATCGCCGTCAAATACTTGGGATACGAATTATTTTTTGAAATGTGACTTGCTCTCGACCAAATATTGTTCGTCTACTATATCTTTTGGCAGCCTGAAATAATCAACAACTCGACGGTTAGTCATACTCATGGTCTCAACTTAGCGTTCAATGTGTTGGTCAAGTGGTTCTGCAAAGGTCTAGAATGCTGTATGATAGTTTAGATGATTTGATTTATTCATATGCTAAATGTGTTTAATGTCTTGCTTTTTCCTGAGCGTGAATCGTGATCCAATACTAGGGATACCAATTATTTTTTGAAATATGACCCGCTCTCAACCAAATATGGTTTGTCTACTAGGGTCTTTGGTAGCCTGGAATAACTAACAACTCGACAATCAGTCATACTCATGGTCTCAACTTAACACTTAATGCGTTGGTCAAATGGTTCCGCAAAGGTCTAGTAGACTAGTAGACAAGGTGTCATCCTGACCCATCATTAATCAACCTACGATGTGCACATGTGGGCCTATGCTACTAAAGGCAGGATCACTATTAAGATTCATTTAGCAAACTTCTAGTGGTTAGAGATATCTATTAAACTCACGAGAATGTGAAAGGGAGTAGAAAGAGATTTTTTTTCCATTAAATAAAAGAGACGCGGGAATAGAAATATCTGTCATGCTCCACCTCATTTTGTCCTACAATTATATATAAATTTAAATAAATAAATATGTATGGTTTACCCCACCTCATCTTTTAAAATTCAGATGGACTTGTTTACTTCGGGTTGGCTTGAATCTCGAGCCACTGAGCTTGAAACCTAAAACGAACCTCTGCCCATGAGGCACGCACCATCATGCATCATTCAATTATCTAACTCCCTTAGCTGAAGTCTATAATTATTTAATAGCTGCTTCGAAACTATGTTGCAACATTTAACTTCACCTATATCAATCCATATCCCATTCATATAACATATCAATAACTAGTCTAGCCAAACATAGTGATTACTTCTAATATAAATCCTAAAGCTATCTAAAGTTGAGTAGACGAGAGTTTTATTGATCTCAATTGCCCTTAATAAGGTCAAAAATGGTTTCATGAGAGTCGAAAACTTAGTAAACAACATAAAATATGTATACCGAGCTTTCTAAGCCGCCAAGCCGAGCAAAAAATGAGATTCTATATCTTAAAGTAAAGTATCGATGTGATATTTAATAATATTATATTAAAATGAGTGTAATTTGCATTATATTATTGATGTGATATTTAATAATATTATAAAAACAAGATAAGTAAGGCCATTAAAAAGAGGGAAATGATGAAGAGAAAGGTTGGTTTGGTCAAATTTGGTTGTTAATAAATTCAAAAGTAAATCTCACGTCCTGGATGGGAGGTAGACATTTTTTGTAAAGGTGTAAAAACTTCGATCTAAAAAAAACATTTTGAAAATCGTGAGATTAACGATATTACGTAACATGTCAAAATGGACAATATTTACTAGTGTGGGTTTGAGCGGTTACAAAGGATTACATCAGATGGTATGCAAGTGAGGATACTAGACCCCACGAAGGTGTGACACCAAGTCGTATGTCAGCGAGAATGTTGGTTCCCAAGAGGGTGTGACACCTTGTGTATGCTAGCGAGGATGTTGGGTCTTCAAAGGGGTTGATTGAAATGAAACATTTCTTATAAGGATAGATACGTTGGATGTGAGGATATATGGTGGTATGTCAGCGATGACGTTGGGCCTCCAAAGGGATGAATTAGAATGAAGCATTTCTTATAAGGGTAGACGTGTTGGGTATGACACCCAGTGGTATGCCAATGAAGACGCTAGACCCTCCAAGAATGAATTGCAACGAAAACAATTTTTATAAGAATAGTCCAGTATAAATAAAGGCAACAAGAAGTCAGAAATTCTAGCCAGGGAAAAAATGGATCTCACAAGAAAGATCCAGCAACAATTTCAAGCTCTGAATCCCATCTCTTTTTCCATATGCCTTTCCCTCTTCTTCATAGTTCTACTAAAGCTCTTCAAACGCAACAAACCCAACTTCCCTCCTTCACCACCAAGGCTACCCATCATAGGCAACCTCCACCAATTAGGTGCCCTGCCACACCAATCCATGGCAGCTCTTTCCAACAAATATGGCCCTCTAATGCTCCTAAAGCTTGGCCAGAAGCATGCCCTTGTGGTTTCATCACCAAAAATGGCTAGAGAAGTGATGAAGACCCATGACATCAAATTCTCCAACAGGCCCCAAATCACTGCCGCACACGAATTGCTGTACCAATGTCAAGACATTGGCTTTGCTCAATATGGTGAGTACTGGAGACAAGCCAGAAAAGTGTGCGCTCTTGAGCTTTTTAGTGTCAAAAGAGTGGACTCCTTTCAGTACGTAAGGGATGAGGAAGTTTGTGGGCTCATGGACAAGATTCGTAAGGCTTGTGTGGGCGGTGAGGCTGTGAATCTTAGCCAGTTGTTCCTTCAAACCTCGAACAATATAGTGTCGAGATGTGTCTTGGGAGAGAAATTTGAGGATGAAAATGGGAATAGTAGATTTGGGGTCACAGTCCGAAGGGCTATGGTGCTAATTGTGGCGTTTTGTGTAGCTGATCTTTTTCCTTTTCTTTGGTGGATTGATACTATTAGAGGGTTCATTAAGAAGTTGAAAGATTGCTCTAAAACATTGGATACATTTGTTAGTAAAGTGGTTGAAGAACACAAGGCAAAGATAAGAGATGGTGTTCTAACTGATGAATCTAAGAAGGATTTTGTGGATATCATGTTGCAGCTCGAAGAGGACAACATGATTGACTATCATTTCTCTCTTGACAACCTCAAAGGAATGTTACTGGTTTGTTTCTTGTCCATTTAATTCTCAAAGCGATCATCCTAGTTTATTTTGATTTGTTTATTTGTATCGTTGTCAATTTAACATATGTGGTCTTTTTCGTTCTTACCCTATATGTGAGATCCCACATCGACTGGAGAGAAGAAAAACATTCTTTATGAGGGTGTGGAAACCTCTCACTAGCCGACCCATTTTAAAAAGTTCAAAGGTGAAGCCCGAAAGGGAAAGCTCAAATGGTATTAGTGCCAGACACCTAGTGGTGTGCCAACGAGGACGCTGAGCCCTGAAGGGTGGTGGATACCAGGCGGAGTGTCAGCGAGGACGCTGGGCCTTGAAGACGGGTGGATTGTGAGATCCCATATCGATTGGAGAGAGTGAGTGCCAACGAGGACGTTGGCCCTGAAGGGGAGTGGATTGTGAGATCCCACCTCTGTTGGAGAGGGAACAAAGAGTTCTTGATAAGGGTGTAGAAATCTCTCCCTATTAGACGCGTTTTAAAAACCTTGATTGGAAGCTGGGAAACTCATTGGCCCCGAAGGAGAGTGGATTGTGAGATCCCACCTCGATTGGAGAGGGGAACAAAGAGTTCTTGATAAGGATATGGAAACCTCTCCCTAACAGACGCGTTTTAAAAACCTTGAGTGGAAGCCAAGAAGGAAAACCTCAAAAAGGACAATATCTATTGGCTGTAGGCTTGGATTGTTACACTGTGGATATCTCTCAGACAAAAATTTCATCCTCGTTTAGTACATTTTAGAGGAACCCACTTTTGTTCTTGGATTGCAGGACATGTTTGTTGGAGGAAGTGACACAACAGCAACGGCACTAGAGTGGACAATGACAGAGCTGATGAGAAACCCAACCGCCCTGAAGAAAGTTCAAGAGGAAGTAAGAACAATAATAGGAAAGAAACCAAAGATCGAAGTCGAAGATATTCAAAAGATGGAGTATATTCACTGTGTCATAAAAGAATCTCTAAGGCTCCACCCGCCAGTTCCTTTGCTAGTGCCATGAGAAACAGCAGCAGATGTGGAGATCGATGGCTACCATATTCCATCAAAAACAAGAGTTTTTGTGAACGCCTGGAAAATTCAGAGGGATCCCGAATATTGGCACAATTCAAACGAGTTCATTCCCGAGAGATTTATGGATAACAATTCAGTGAGCTACAAAGGCCAAGACCATGAGTTTATTCCATTTGGGAGTGGGAGAAGGAAGTGTCCAGGAATGTCATTTGGGGTTGCTTCATTTGAACAAGCATTGGCTAATCTTCTCCATTGGTTTGATTGGAAGCTTCCCAGTGGCTGTGAATTAAGCGTTGAAGAAGAAAGTGGGCTCACTGTTTGCAAGAAAACCCCCCTCCTTCTCAACCCAATACAGTATATCTAATCATATTTAATTCAATAATTCTCATGTGGGGGCTCTTTAGTATGTTATTAGTTTGTGTTATTTAGGTCGAGAAGAAGTTTATTCATGGTTACCAACCCATAAGTAGGCTATTTATTTGAATGGTGTATGATACTTTAGACGATATGATTTATTTGTGTGCTAAATTTGTTTAACGTCCTACTTTTGAAATATGACTCACTCTCGATCAAATATGGTTTGTCTACTAGGTTCTTTGTCAGCCTGAAATAACTCGACAATAAGTCATATTCATGGCCTCAATTTAGCACTGAGCGTGTTGATAAGGTGGTTTTGCAAAGCTCTAGTAGACTAGTAGGCAAGGTGTCGTCCTGACCCATCAAAAAATCAACCTACCGTGTGCACGTGTGGGCCTCTGCTAAAGTACATTTAGTAACTTCTAGTGACTATAGATATCCATTCAACTCATGAGATAGGTATGCCACAGACAGGTGAAAAATCTCTATTTAAATCAAGAATGAGAGTAGAAAGAGATTTTTTTTTTCATTAGATAAATAAGACGGGAAGAGGAATCTTAACCTCTGTCCATAACATGCACCATCATACGTCATTCAATTATGTAGCTCATCATTCAATTATGCAACAGAGGAAGGTTACTTACTTGGTTCGCCTTAGCTGAATTTCGTAATTATTGAATAGTTATTTTAATAATATGCTACAACGTTTAACTTCAGTTAGATCAATCCATATCACATTCATATAACATATCAATAACTCGGTCTAGCCATACATATTGATTACTTCCAATATAAATCCTAAAACTATCTAAAGTTGAGTAAATGAGAGTCTTAACGACCT